GTTCAATGACAGGGTGACTGCTGGGGACCCCTCATGCTTTCATTTCTTTTTGCTTGAGAAGCTGAGGTAAACTCCTATTCTGGGACCTATTACTGTCCTGGCCCTGATGGCTCTGTGCTGCTCAGAGACATGGCCACTGTCCTGTCCTGGGTCAGCAAACCACTAGGGCCCATGGTCACTGTCATGTCCTGGGTCAGCAAACCACTAGGGCCCATAGTCACTGTCCTCTCCTGGGTTGGCCCCCTGACGGCTCGGTGCTGCTTGGAGTCATGATCACTGCCCTGTCCTTGATCAGCTCCCTGGTGACTCTGTACCCCTAGGGGACACGGTCCCTGTCCTCTTCTAGGTCAGCCCCCTGACAGCTCAGTTCTGCCATCAGGAGGACCCCAGCCCATGGGGGTGCTACAAGACAGCACACCTGAGCCCTGTGGCACCAGGTGGGTCCTCAGTCATACCAGCTGCTGTCACTGTGTCCACTGCCTTCTGGAAGCTGGCCCACCCCGCAGCCCAGGCTCTGTCCCAGCAGGAGCTAGGTGAGGAGGCGTGAACGCGAGGCCCAGCCCCTCACAGTGCGCGAAGCTCCCAGCGCTCCCAGCGGCCCTGCTGCTGGACCGGTACCAGGCCCATTCAACAGATGCACAGACTGAAGCTCAGAGAGGCAGCACCACGGGCCCTAGGCCACAGAGCTGCTTGATCTGGGAGCTGGGGACTGGGCCCAGGGCCATCTGACTCCAACGCTTTTGCTCAGACCCTCTGCCTGCACCTTCTCCTTTCTCAGCCCCAGCGAGGAGGAAGGCCCAGGGCCCACATTGGCCCTGAGCTCCGATCCACTTCTGTTCTCATCCCTGCGCTGCCCCTTCCTGCCTGCTGGGCCCTGCATCACTGACTCAAGCATTCAAGCCTCAGTTTGCTCATCATTAAGATGGGAACATAATACCCACTCCCCCTGGAGTCCTCAGTGGGAAGGTGCCTACCACAGGGTCAAGTACTTAGAAGGCTCCGGGACTCAGTAGCTGTAGTTATTCTCAGAGCCGGCCGTCAAAGGTGGAGCTGCAGCCTGATGAAGGGACAGGCACGCATCACCTTCACTCCCCTGGGACGCAAGGAGGCTGGGGAAAAGGCTGGGACTACAATTAACCAAGTGTGTGCCCCTGCTTTGCCCAGTGTGGTATACACATCCCTCAGTTACTTAGTTTCCGCCACCACCCGTCACCCCATTGTACAGATGGGAAGACTGAGGCTTCGTGCTCAAGCTGGGGTCAGAGCACAGCCCACTCTTGCTTGCAGCCGAAGGTAGGACAGAGTTCTGGGCACATTCAGAGCAGCACAGAACACAGGCTGGAGCCACGTTAACCTGTTAACTAGTTGCCTTTGAGTCGGTTGTGACACATGGTGACCCCATGGATGTCAGAGTAGAACCAGGTTTTCAGAGTACAAATGGTTTCCAATGGCTGTGACCTTTCAGAACTTGATCCCCAGGCCTTTCTTTCAAGGCTCCTCTGGATGGATTTGAACCATCGACCTTTTGGTT